ATTGGGCCGATTTGACATTAAAACTGCAAACCGACAATCCGCCTCAGAGCCCGGAGTGGCGGTCAGCCATGGAAGAGGCGTCGAACAGATTGCAAGCAGCCATCCGAGCCAGCGGAATGGACCTGCCGGATAAAGAAGACGAAGGGGTGATTGAGTAGAAATGGCGTCGCCTATAGCTTCTTTTAACTATGGTAAAAGTTGTCATCCACGTTGGCTATTACTTGGATATTACTTGAGCCAAACTGCTGCTGCCTGGTCTTGCTTGTCAGTTGAAAGAGCTGATGTAAGAAGCATGGTTGCTGCATCAGAAGAACTCAGCGTCCATCTACAAGTTTCATTTATCGATGCAGGCTCCACCATTTCACTGATTGCCCGAGCAATCGGGTCCGCGAACATGACAGCATGCTCTCTCCCTGGCGAGTTGTCGTACTCAGATGTGTAGTGTTGAGTGTCTACGGTTTCTGACCATAGTTCCGATGTCAGCCTTGCGTGCCAAGCAAGCAGACGCCGGTATGGCATGCACCCAGGAGGACAGAGCAGGGGCTTTTGATGGACATCAGTAAACGTCTTGCAAGATCCATCAATTGTCTTCTCCATGATCGAAGTATCCGCAACCCACAGAACAAGTTTGGTCTCCAGCACGTTGTAAAGGAAACAGACTTGCTGACTCCCTTCGTAAGAAACAGTCCATTCCTTGGGCTGTTTACATCTTCAGTTCTTAGACCAAACTCTTCTAGTAAATGTCCTAGTGTTGACGACTTCCAAATGTGAGCAGCAATGATACCGGTGGTTTCGTCTTCTGCCTTGCGATTGGAATGTATGCATCCAAGATCTGGCACTTGACACCTTTCCCTGATGTACTCGCACGTTTGTACAACTTAATTACTTTTTTTAAAATCTTGTATTGCGCTTGCTGCCACTTGTTCGTAATGATTCTCTCTTCCAGTTAACAGTTCAGTCGACTTTTACGCGAAAGCCCCACCTCTCGAACTACCTCTGGCAACACATTGATTGATCAACGGAATCAAGCGTTCTATCTCCGTCAACACATTTGACAACGACTGCTGCCTATTCTGGGGACACTCGTCGATGTCATCAACTTGCGCAATTACGCCTGGTGTTGCAGGGTTGCTCTTGCCACAGAACCTGCAGAGCACTTGTTGTCCAACAAACTGTGGAACAGTCGTGGGGCATGGCGATTTTGTATTACATGTAGTACTTGTGGACGACAAGAGCAATAGACGGTATAGAAGGCAATGGAAAAGGACTGTGAAGAGCAGGCTACATGTACTCCGGAGAGCAAATAAATGAGGAAAGCCGAAAAAGGAGGAAAAACTTTGAAGAAAATCAATGGTATCAGTCATGGAGCCACTGCTCACCAATGCCAACCACTGTTTCGCGAAACAGTGGTGCCTTTCAACACTGCTTACCACTCTCTTTACCACTGTCTACCACTGTAAAATACAGTGCTTGTAGTGCTACTGTTTACCAGTTGTCGGTGCGTGGACCGTCCGTTTGCTGCGTTACCGAAAAGAAGTCACGCGTTGCTGAAGACTGAAAGTGTTCATGTATGTCTAGCTAGTACCAGTAGCTGTCTGTCTGGGTGCTATTGGGGACTATTGTCCCCCAATTGCAGAGGATTCAGTGCTTTGCTGCCAATGTAGGGTTGCAAAAATGTCAACGGTCGAGGCATAGTTTTGCTATAAGCCAATACTCCTGTATCCCGATGCTCAAATTCCAGGTTGCCGTCAGCATCGAAAATGAACGTGGCACCGCGCAAATGGAGATGTTTTTGGTCGGGAACGTATTCCTTAAAGTTGGAGAGCACTTCCACCATGACTCGCAGTCGCACCGTTGCCAACTCGGCCGGTCGTTGATACCCCTTTTCATTCTTCCACAGGCTCTGATACTCAATCGGACCCAGCTTGACGTCGGTAACTCCAGTGACAGCAATCAAGTCGTCACCGACACGGACTGTTTCATCGGGTCGTATCCGTTCGGGAGCTGATCTGTCACCAATATACCCTCGAACGATTTCACCCAGAGTGTCGGGCGCTGCAATGCCCGCACACATTGCCATGTAGTTGAGCCAGGTCCGGGCCACCAAGGCACGACCTTGTTGGGTGTTCTCCTCTGTCGCCCCAGTATAATTGACAAACCATTGCAAGAGAGTATCCGGTACAAAAGATGGAATATCCCAGTCAGGTCCACCGTGCAACTGCAGCGCACGATGCAGGTTGCCCTCAGGATCGACTCGCATCACATCGAGGGGCAATCCGGCAAACTGAGCAAACCGCTTGGCGGCTTCGACAGGGCCAATGCCAATAATCCTCAAGGCAACGTTTGCCCGCTCCAGCTCAGGCTGGATGCCTGCCAGTAACTCGGCATATTCCGCACTGTCAAAATCACCCAGCTGGGAAGCCACGACGATAAGGGCCTTTTGGTCGTTAGTTTCCTTTGCCTTCTTGCCGACAAAGAAGGGCAGTGGATTGTTGCTAACTTGACTTCTGCTCCCAGCACAGCAGAGACCTTCCAACGCTGGGCAAGAGGCTCCCGTGCGAGGATCAATCACTGTGGATGACTCCAGAATTTCTAAAACATTGACTGACGATGGGGATGACGAAGAGCTGGCATGTAGCACGGTTTCTGATGATTTCCGGAATGAAGACTCTGACGCAAAACACTGTATGCATACCGGTACGCTCAGAACGAAGACAAGATGCACCAGTGCTGCTTTCAAGTTTATTCCTAGTGTGCCTTTTTTGCTTATCATGGTTGCTCCAGGACAAGGAATCTGCCGGTGCCTCAGGGTCGTGTTGTGCGGCCCTTCGTGTCTCCTCATCAATAAGTTGGCATCATTGTTGCTTTGGTTTGCGAAAAATGAGTGACGTCATTTAGCCAAAGATCCAGCGAAGATCTAAAAGATCCAAAATCTGGCTCAGACGACGGTTGACCATGGTGCCCAGGAACGCCCGACCGCGGACCTGTCGTCGTCGATCGGCAATGTTGCAGCGACGCGAAGGAAGCCCAACATTCTACATGTATTGCCAGCCTGCAGTACGGTACCAGTAGTGTATTGACAGCTATCAGTTAATTTAAAGGCGAAAACGACACAATGTCCGCTCCAAAAAATGCTGTGCGGCTCCTCTGGGCGATTCTGCTCTTATCATTGTTCAACAAGCCATGCCTGGCCTACCAAAGTACTTCGACGAAAACTACAATTGATCGACGAGCGTGCCTCCAAGGTCTCATTGGATTTTCCGTATGCGGTTTCCCAACCAGCGACGCCAACGCCGTCATATCCAGTAAGGCGTGTGCCAGTGGGAGGGGCGAAGGATGCGACGATCTGGCAGAAGGAAATGAATTCATTCGATCGCTGCAAGAAAAGAGCGCGGTCAAAGCCGATGTCTATGCCAAAGTACGTACAGTGCCGGGTACAGCAATCACATGTATTCCGAGATTGACCATTGCCACGCAATGCCGGCCAGAAACTAACAAGTCTTACTCGTTTGCATGTTGTTGTTCTACTGCAGGAAGCAAGAGACGCCTACTACATGAAAAACTACCCCGATTTCTTTGCCGTAGTTGGAAAGATCATGGTCAAAAAACCAGACGGAAGTTTCATTCTGGTCGAAGAATCGGAGTTGAAAGCTCTCATGCAGGACAACAAAATATCGCTCGAGTTCCCAAAAGCAATGGGAGGTAAGGTGACGGACCTAACGCAAAAGCCTGTCATGGTATTAAACGAGTAACAAAACATCATTTTTTACAAAGACGAGAACATTATTTATCGCTGACAAAGCAGTTTCTCACTTTCAAACATCGCGCAAATTAAATTATATCTTTAGCAGATGTTTTGCTGCCTGCTGTCCTTGTCCTCGTGTATTATGTTACTCTAGCCACCGTGGACCTGCCAGGTACCAGCAGCTATCTAGTATCGTCGCAGCTATGATGACCAAACAAATGTGACTGAAGGTAACATCACATGAAACAGTCAAACCAGAAGAGTGTTGTCATTGACCATAGTACGAGTAATGGGATGCTTTGTCGTTGGACTCGGAATTGTGAGCCAAAAACACCAGAACAGATGATGCACTGAGGATAAAGTACAGTCGTACTGGTCAATGGCTCCTGCTGTTTGGTCAATCTGTGAATCGAGAAGCGGAATTATGGAATTATTGGAACAGATGGATGATGGTGGACATACTTTGGACTGCTCGATGGTTACCTCGTGTAGTATTTCCTATTTCATTGGGGATCGAGAAGCATACGGTAGAAGCACGATGAACACGGTTCCCAACAACCTTGGCTACCTGGTACCAGAAACATTAGAACAGCCATGCATTTGATTGCTTCTGTTTAAGCACGATCCTTTCCCGCGATAACCAAAGAGCCATTCATTTTCATTAAATTTTTCACTTTCTAATAAGCTTTCCCACCCAGTGTTGCTTTCGTTGCTTCATAGCCAGCCAAACACGAGCTGGAAGGGAAGGATAGAGAGAAGAAGATCCGAAGATCCATCGATGCACATGTAACTTCATTAACCTTGGAGTCACTTTTTGTTTGGCAGCTGATGAGCATACGCAGTCCGCAGGCCTCCAGGATTCTGAAAATCTCAGCAATGACGATGATGCGTTGGTTTTTGACGAATCATAGCCTTTCAGAACCACGTGTTATGCTCAGAAATGTTCCCAGTTCCCAGCTTGGTGAAAATGCCCGCGGAACGCTAACGAAAAGAGGCCAGTCCAGCTGCCCTCAAGATCCATAAACCGCGAATTCAATCAACGAGAACCCCAAACTGGCGATTGAATTCAGGAATTTGCTGGACCAGACGACACCGAACGAACGCTGGGATGCTGGGATCCCAAAGCTGTACCGTACTAGCTTTTAATAGTACTGGTGTCGAGTTCGAGCGGCAGAGGACTACTGTATGCCATACAGTACCTGGTAGTAGTTCTCACCGCCTCCTGGCTATCGTTCCACACCCGTAGCTCTATGATTAGCTATGATTGTAGAATACCGTACACTCCACCCTTGACATTAAGCGAGTTGGAGATAAGATGTCGAGTGCTGAGATTTGCTAAAATGTTAAGATACTTGAGACACTCAGATCGGCACTAGAGCTAAGATAGCCAGTAAGCACTCTCCCTTGGGCACATAAGAGATTGAGAGATGATACAATGACACTTTTCTACAACAAAATGCCTTAAAAACAGGTACCAAAAGTAAAAAATTTCGCCTCCGGCGGATGACTCTCTCCTCTCTTCTCCTAGGGGTATGTTCCGTAAGGTGGAAAGCAGAGTAGCAAGGTTGGTATGTACCATACTACTAGTATGGTCAATAGAAATGGCAAGAAAGCTAAGATGTTGCCTTTGGACCCTGAATTTTAACAAAATGTTAAGAAGATTCTCAGTGCAGATATTTGAGTTTTTGCTAAGATGCCTTCAGGGTTCAGGTGAACTTAGAGATATCTTAATATCAAGGGAGGAGTGTACGGTACAGTATCCGCGAGCTCATCGGTGCAAGGGCATGAAACCTGCAACCGCCTTCAACTGCCTCTCATCATCAGAGGAAGTGATGGATCATAATTCTAGAATCTTGCTTGTAAGAGCTCCTGTAAGTTGTAAGAAGCATGGTTAGAACTCAGCGTCAGGCTACATGTATCTCTATCGTCCCAGTTGACCTTGGTTCCAGCATACATGTAGCATTGTTCCAGCAGTTGGACTGACCTGTTTGCTTCATGAGAGAGTTGCAAGCATGAATGATGCTACTCGTACCAATGCTGAATTGGAAATGTTTATCAACTATCACGTGGAGTTGTTGGTTGGAAACGTTGGAACGTTGGAACATCAGATCTAGCTAGCTGCTGCTGTAGCTGGCTGCGGTGGCCACAACTAAATCACACCAAGAGCTCTAGTACTAGCTAGCTAGCTAGTAGAGAGTGCAAAGCAAGCACTGACTGTTCGCAATTTGTCAAGTTTGCCATGGTTGCGGTGTGGCTGCAGTGTTCAGAAGCAAGACCCGTAGGACCGAGTGACTCTTCGGAAAGCAAGAAAGTACGTACTACGTAGCTGGTAGCTGGTATTAATAGCTGAAAGTAAACATCATACCTGTACTACTGTAACATACCAGTACTTGCTTGGCTGCCTTGGGTAAACCGTATTACTCCGTACCACAACATGTAATACTACAAACTCCGTACACTACATGTAGTACTCTAGCATCTGCTTTTACAGCTGCTCGACCAGCTCGACCATAGAGCTACCGGTACTACCCTTTACTAATACCCTTCTTGAGTTGGAGGATGTTGGAGGCAATAGAAAAAGGGCTTCAAGCAGCCTCTTCAAGCCTTCACCTTTGTGATTTTGCCCTTGGCAGGCCGAACCCAGCAAGGTCATTTAAGACACATTTATTGATCCGACATTTAATTTCTGCTTCAGGTGACTTTCTAAGAAAGATCACGGTGGTTCGGACATATTCCGACCTTGAAACAATAAGTAATCGTCAGTGACCTGACTACTTCCAAGCCACTCTAGCAGTTTCAGTAGCATAGCTGTACCCACCATCAGAAACTCCAACGCTTTAAAGCAAGTCCCCTCCTGTCTTTCCCTTAGCTCTTCCCTTCTTGTTCGGACATCAGTTCAATTGGGAACCCAGTTTCGTTGAGAAGCAATGATGTCATTGAGAATACTTAAGAAAATATGTCGCATGAAAAATGGCCAAGATTTTATTAACATAGAAATCCCGAACCAGGGACAACCGATAATGACGTTCTGCAAAGGTTGACTTAAAACTTTTAATTGTGTTTAACCGATTTACGGAGCGACCGAGGCTTCCCCGAAGCTCAGTACCGCGCTCTCTCGAGAACCACCTGAAAGCTGCTTCTTGATTTTTTTGGTTTTCTTGGAGGGTGGAGAGCCGAGCTCTACGTGGGTCCTGGTACATTTCTGCGTTGAAGGGAAGCCTCATCAGAGCTCCCGAAGCCTCTGGTAGCTCCTCTGGTCCAACTCTCCAAAAACCACCCTAAACACCCCACAAAAAAATTCTCCAGAGAAAAAGAAGTCCTTCGGAGATCCGTCTGTATTGCATTGGATCTTGACCAAGTTGTTCAGCGTAACAGCCCACAAAGTATTGCCACCATGCACTACCTCGGAATGAACAGTCCAATCTCAGTGACAGATAATGCTGGTCCTCAGCAGGGAGTCTCTCAGCACTGTCTCTTGATCCGAAACGCTGCCTACTTCAATCGAGAAGGCGCTACCCGCCTCGTTACTGGGGACTTGGACGGCGCGTTTGCTCCTCTCTTTGCAGCTCTCGAGACGCTGGCTCTTGCCGGGGGCTTGCTGCCGTCGCAGGGGATCCTATCTGCCTACTTTGCTCGAACGTTTCCCTTCGAGCAAGCGCCGAAGCGTCCGTCTCCAAAAAACACCCGCCCCAGCCGTGATGAAGGATCCTACTTTGTCTACGGAAATCCATTCGTCTTCCAACCCATCGATGTGGATACCCCTGAGTATGCCACAAACTGTACTGCGGTCTGTTTGTTCAACCTGGCGCTGGCATATCACAAGAGAGGTCAATTGGCAGACTCTCAATCTCTCTTTCGTGCCCGAACCCTCTACGCCATGAGCCTTCAGTTGGTGGACAGCATGTCCTGCCAGGCGGCGTGTGCCAATCTCAAGGTCGCTGGAACCAACAACAAGGCCCACGTTCACTTTGAAGTAAGTGATGTGGGCGATGCCAAGAATACCCTTCGAGATCTTTTGATTATCCTCGGCACCAAGGGCCATCCACCACCCTTTGCCGAAGATGAAATTGAAAAGTTCTACATGAACATTTTGCACCTGAATGGATCCACGTTGGCGGCTGCAGCCTGATTACAAAAATACAATCGAGAGCCCTCCTTATCATCCTCCTGAACAGCATATCCTTGCTTCTGACCAAACTCTGTACATACATTACAGCAAGGGAAAGGCGAAAGCTACCCACAAAACTCCAAGCAAGAACGAGAACGTCCCTTATTCTATTTACTTTTTCAGCTTGTTGGATTCCCAGTACATTGTATAGACCTTTACATTTTCTAAACGTTACAATTAAGTTATAGTGAACAACATCATCTATCTAATCTATTGATCTAGCTCTACTATAGGCAATGGATTACTCTGAGTAGCATGAATTCCCGTAGCGAGATGCTGGTGCTGTCTTCTCGTATCCAGGGCAATAGGTGGGTCCGACCCGTCACCGCACCTGTCAATCGATAGCCATGGGCCGCAAATGGCCTTGCTCGGAGGATGAATCGCATCCGCAGCTGCCGGACCAAATCAAACACGATACTATTGTGGAAGTGCAGCTAAGGTCTCCTCGTGACCAGTATGATTGCTTGCAGACATCAGCTCAGCCAGTGATCGATGAGTGCCTATCGTTACTCTACTGCCTGCCCAATGACGATTGGTAGCCAGTCTACGGTAGCTAGCTAGTAGATAGTCAAGTCAAAACTGTGCTGAAGATGCTCGCTCTCGTTGGGAAGACAAAACTTGGAAAGCTCCAAGGAGCGAATGTACTCAGAGGCATTCAACCTGCTTTCTTGGCACCATTTGCCTTCTTGCCTTTTCTTTGCTTCCTGAGGTGGCTTGACCAGAGGTTTTCAAGAGCATCATCGTCCAGAGTGAGAATCTTGTTGACGAGCTCCTGTCGACGATTCAGCTTGTTGGATTTGTTGGACTTGGGTTCGTGGGTCTTCTTTTTCCCTCGTTTGGCTGCCAGCTTTCCAAGAGCTTTGTTCAAGGCATTGCACCTCAAGAAAGAGTTGGACTGCTTTTTCACACCAAGAGCCTCCTCCAGCGGATCAAGGTCGTGCCCGCCCAAGAAGAGAAGAACGCGAAGCCTCACTTTTTCTGGAAGGTTTGGAACACGTTTCATGGAGACCCCCCGGTTGGAGCCAGCGGTGGGGACAAGCTTCTTGGAGCTCGAACCATACGAGAGTTCTACTTTGTCTAACAGTGTCTCGACGGAGAACCCAGATTCTGGGCAAATGTCGCCTGCAAGTCTTGTCAGCGGCAAGCGAATATCGATCATGGATCCTAGTCGCACTCTGCCTCCTCCCAGTTGTGCTCTGTATTCAGTGGCTGTGTCCTTCTTGGGCATTTGTTCTGGAACCGGCTGAGGTGCATCCGTTGGTGCTTTTTTACCCAATCCAAGACTTTGCATGACTTCTGTCTTGATACCTGCAAACACAGGAGCAACTGGCCAAGGAAGATTGATTTCCAACGCTCCGAGCTGACAATTGATAAGAGTGCGAGAGCTTTCACTATCTGTCTTTGGCTGGTTGCAAACTTCCAGCAGTCTCAGCTGAATTCCATGTCGCTCGCGCGACTCGTAGACCATGGACTCGACCGTCGCAGGAACATCTAGCAGGGCGCAGGCTGTCGTCGGCCAAGGGGGCCGTTGGCCGCGATTGATAGAAGTCAACTCAGCAAGTGTCGCAATGCCGCCATCATGCGACGGAGGAGGAATACCAGCAGATATCAAGACCTGCTTTTGAACTCCTTTGAACTCGTCGAGTGATAGCAGACCACAGTCTAGCCTCAGATCCTGGAAATTCTTGTGCTCATCAGCGGTGAGCTTTTGCTGATCCAATGTCAAGCCTTGCAGTTTTGCATCCCAATACATGAAAGAAAGACCTGCATTGTGTCCCGGTCCGTCGTCTGCTCGCATTACATGTACCCGCAAACGAATCTCGGCGACGAAGACACCCAGTATCTGAACGTGTTCGGGCTTCATGTAGGCAGGGAATGCTGGCGGTAGCGGCATCGATTTTCGTCGTCTAGGGAAGAAGCTCCCTTCATTGGTATCATCGATGTTGGACGTGCTTCCAAAGAACAGGCTGGAAAAATACCCTCGGCTCGGTTCAGGTTGCTCAACGACGACTTCTGCTACGGGTGGATTGTCCTCAGTGGCATCAGGTTCAACTTCAGCCTCCTTTGCAGTATCGACAGTTTCCGGGTTTTCTTGCTCTTTCTTCTTGAAGAGGCTTATGACAAGTCCCAAACCATCAAGGGAGAGTCGATCGACGTTGAGTTCCAGTGGTTCGCGCAGTGAAACCGAAAGGGCCAATCCTGGCATGGGTGTGTTGGAATCCAGGATCTGGAAATCATTGGAGTTTCCTTCTTCGATCTTTCCTGTTTGTTTCCAGCAACGGAGGCAGTTTTCACACGGCAGATGCTCCAACTTGCATCGTGCTGGCGTCATCCCTCTTGCTACTCGGAAGAAACAACTCTCCATTTGGCTGCTCTGGATCCCATTGCGATCTGTTTTGTAGACTTGCGACCTCAGCAATCCCTGATCATCCCCCTCATCCGAACTACGACTCGTTGTCGCATGTGAGGCTGCTGTGTTCAAGGGAGGGAGAGTGTTTGGGGTGGGGCCTGGAGCGACGTGATCAAAACCATACAAAGTATGGTCTATGCCTTCATACGTGTCCGGCTCGGTAGAATACCAAGACGAATTCGCCTCGGCGAGCTCCCTCTTAGTCCCAAGAAATATTCGAGCCTGAATGTCGAGCCCAGAACACTGTAGTACACGGTGTCTGGTTGCTTCAAGCCACTCTTGCCGAGCCCACTGGTATTGTTGCGTGCGCGGTGGAGGCCTCCAAGAAGCAGATTTTTCGCGTTTGGGGGTCAGAACGTTGAGCCAAATACCACCATCAGCACCCTTTCCTGTTCGTATCCGTCGTTCCATGTATTCGTTATCAGGCGAAGACCCTGATTTGCTCGTCTGGGTTTTGATCGGTGTGATTGGCGGTTGTTGACCTTCTTGTGCTGCATCGTCCGTATTGAAAGGCGTGAGAAAGTCTTCTCCCTCCGTAACAGACAGTAGCCCAATGCCAACATCCACAACCACGTCTGCACTGTCGTCTTTGGTGGGTATATCCTCCTCTTGTTCGTCCTCTTCATCCTTTGCACTGACATCGGGAGGAGATTCGTTAGATTTGTCATCCGATCCAGTACTACTCCGAACAACCAGCCGAACCACAATGTCGCGCAAGAATAGATGGGGGACACTGGAAAATATTCTTGCAATAGGATTTGACGCCAGGACCCTTTCTCCCGTTGTTTTCAGCTCTTCAATATTGATTGGAGCAGCAGCTGGTGCTGCATTTGCTTGTTTCTTTTCCGTTTCCCCCGTTTGTGCATCTGCGGTTGCTTTTTGCGTGCCGTCTCCCTTTTCATTGGAAGCTGGCTCCTCGTCTTTTCTAACTGCTTCCAATGCCAAAAAGGCGTCTTCCACAAGTACGTGGAGTTCACGACCCACGAGACGGACATCCAAAGTCCCAATGTATCCACCCTCTCCAATACAGAGTGCCATGGGAGGCAACGAACGTTCATTGTCATTTTCATCCTCTGATGGAGCTGGTGGTGGTGAATCCGTTTCTCCCTCGTCGCTATCATCTTCGGAAGCCAGCTCTGGGAGTTGATCGTCAATTCCCTGTTTGACAGCATCTGCCTCCTTTTTCGTATCGGGCAAATAAATTTCAGAATGGTGATGGTGATGATGCCCATTCATTTGCGTATCTGACTCCTGATGGTGATTGTTGGCGTGTTGGCTGAGTAGAGGTCGAGTCTGCTCGTCTTCCCGTTCTTCCTGCGACGGTGTTTCGGATGACAAATTGGCATCTTGCTCTCTCTGTTCTTCTACTTTGGGTTTTTTAATGTCGGCTTCTGAATGAGCAAAACAGGACAGGAATCCAATGCTGCTGTCCTGCACGGGAGTGTCTGGTCGTGTAATACTTTCCACATCCATTGATGCGATACTCCTGTCCAGTTCGTCCACCAATTCGTCCAAATCTGCATCCAAATCCTCCGTGGACGGAGCGTTGGCAATTCCATACTTCTTCATTAGTAGCTCCTTTTCTTTTTCCTCTATGGATACCATATTGCGGTTCCCATTGTAATGCAAAGGCGTGATCAACTCCGCCTCGTTTTTGTCGTGTTCGGCATTTTCCGTCTCGGTGGCGTCTTCTGCTGCGTCCTTGGATATTACTGCATCCGTTGTAGTGCCATTATTGTTCTCATTATTGGCATTGGTATCTTTGGGCTTGGGTTTCCGTTTAGTGCCCGGCAAAATCATGAGCTCGGCACCTTCTCGCAGCTTGACGTTGCTAAGGCGAACGCCCCATCCAGAAGCGTGGCCGTCCGTGCTGTAGAGCGAGGGCATTTCGACTCCATCCACGTCCACATCGGAAAGATACTTGTAGAGAAATGTCAGAAGGGTCTTGGACAGCAGCGTCAATGCGGCACTTCGTAGCATGGACATGGTGGAAGGATAATACTCGCGCTACTTCAAAGAACAAAATCCGACTTGTCCAAAGGGACGACAATGGAAACAGAATCTCAATCACAATCGAATCGAATCCTTTTTGCTTGGTAATGATTATACCCCACCCGCCAAAAATCCGATGAAGATCACAAAATCTTCTGATTGCTGAGATAACAAAGATGGAAAATGCAGTACTGGTACTATCTTCTCGTCATTGTCACTACTAGTAGCAAGTAGATCAAAACCACAGTGCTTGGATCACTATGAGCTATCTATGCTGGGTAATACGTTGGCTTTTGGCTTTGAGCTCAGAAGATGTTTGTTGGTTTGTGGTTTGGCAGCATTGTGTCTATTCGCGGCTTGTTTGAACGAGGTACTACAGCTATTATTGACGTACGTGTCACTGATTTGGACTGTGCCTCTTACCGCAACAAAGATCCCGTCAAAGTTTTA